GTGTTGTATGGAGGTTTTTTGGTTTGTTTTTGCCATTGAGCTGTTTGAGTTTCTTATATATTTGAAACATTAACCTCTTGTCAGATATCCGGTTGGAAAATATTTTCTCCCATTCCATAAGTTGCCTTTTCATTCTGTTGATCATTTCCTTTGCTCTGCAGACTTTTCAGTTTGATGCAGTCCCATTTACCTAGTTGTGCTTTTGTTGCCTGTGCTTTTTGGTGTTATACCCAAAAAATCATTGCCCAGACCAATGTCAAGAAGCTTTTTCTCTATTTTTTCCTAATAGTTTTACTGTTTTAGGTCTTATGTTTAAGTTTTTGTTTTGTTTTGTTTAAGATTTTATTTATTTATTTGACAGATGGAGACCACAAGTAGGCAGAGAGGCAGGCAGAGAGACGGGGGTGGGGTGGGGAGCAGACTCCCTGCTCAGCAGAGAGCCCCATGCGGGGCTCCATCCCAGGACCCTGAGATCATGACCTGAGCCGAAGGCAGAGGCTTAACCCACTGAGCCACCCAGGCGCCCCTATGTTTAAGTTTTTAAATCCATTTTGTATTGATTTCTATATGTAGTATAAGAGTCCAATTTCATTCTTCGATTGTGAATAACCAGTCTTTCTCGCACCACTGTCTTTTTTCCATTATGTTTTCTTGGCAGTGTTGTCAAAGATCAGTTGAGTGTGAGTGAGTGGAATTTTCCTGGGCTCTCTATTCTGTTCCACTGGTCTGTATTTCTGGGGGTTCCCCCCCAATACCATATTTTTTTAATTGCTGTGACTTTGTAATACATTTTGAAATTAGAAAGTGTGATGCCTCCAGCCTTGTTCTTCCTCAAGACTGAGTTGGGGTCTTTTGTGATTACACAGGAATTTTGGGGGGTATTTTTTTCTAGTTTATAAAGAATCCCATTGGGATTTTGATACGGATTTCGTTGAATCTGTATGTCACTTTGGGTAGTACGGACCATTCAGCAGTTAATTCTTCTAATCTTAGGCTGTCTTCCCATTTATTTATATATTCATTACTTTCTTTCATCAATGTTATATAATTTTCAGTGTACAAGTCTTTCATATCTTTGGTTAAATTTATTTCTAGGTATTCTTTTTGTTGCTGTTGTGAATGGGATTGTTTCCTTAATTTCTTTTCAAGTAGTTCATTGTTTATGTATAGAAGTACCGCAGATTTTTTTCTTTTTATTTTGCATTTGGGAGGGGTCTTTAGTGTTCTCTACATATACAATCATATCATCTGCAAATAGAGCTATTGTTACTTCTTTCTTTCTGATTTGTTTGCTTTTATTTCTTTTCTTGACTAATTGCTCTAGCTAGGATTTCTAGTACTATATTGAATAGAAATGGTGAGAGAGGGCATCCTTGTATTGCACTAGATCTTAGATGAAGAGCTTTCAAGCTTTCCTTACTGATTATGATGTTAGCTATGGGCTTTTCATATTGAGGTTAGTTGCTCTTATACCAGTTTTGTTGGAAGTCTTTATCATGAGTGGATGCTGCAGAAAAAGCGTGCTTAATTTCATCTATTCAGGTGATCATGTGGTTTTCTTTTTTTAATATTTTATTTATTTGACAGAGAGAAAGAGAAGCAAGGGGAGCATCAGGCAGAGGGAGAAGCAGACTCCCCTATTTTTTGGAAGAGCTTAAGAAGGATTGGTGAAAATTGTCCTGTGAGTGTTTGGTAACATTCACCCAAGAACTACCTGGTCCTGGGCTTTTTGTGGTGGTGGTCGTTCAGAAGTTTTTGATTATTGTTTCATTCTCCTTATTTGTTATTGATCTGTTCAAGTTTTCAGTTTCTTCTTGGTTCAGTTTAGTAAGTTGTATGTTTTTTGGAATTTATTGATTTCTTCTAGATTATCTAGTTTGTTAGCATATAACTGTTAATAATAGTCCCTTCTGTTTTTTTTTTTATTATTATTTCTGAAGCATCTGTTTTAATGTCTCTTTTCATTCCTGATTGTCTTCTCTCTTTTTTTCTTAGGCTAGCTATGAGTTTCTTGATTTTGTTTATTTCTTTTTCAGAAAATCAACTCTTGGGGCACCTGAGTGGCTCAGTTGGTTAAGCAACTGCCTTCAGCATAGGTCATGGTCCTAGGGTCCTGGGATCAAGCCCCACATTGAGCTCCCTGCTCAGTAGGAAGCCTGCTTCACCCTCTCTCACTCCCCTTGCTTGTGTTCTCTCTCTTGTTGTCTCTTTCTCTCTCTGTCAAATAAATAAATACAATCTTAAAAAAAAAAAAGTCAACTCTTATTTTTGGTTTTTTGGTTTTTTTTTTCTATTTTTTAATTTAACTTATGTCTGTGATAATCTTTATTATTTTCTTCCTTCTAACTTTGGGCTTAGCTTGTTCTTTTTCTAGCTTTGAGGTATAAAGTAACATTGCTTATTGAAGTTCTTTCTTTTTCTAAAATTTTATGCTTGAGAGAGGGATAACTTGCAAGAGCACAAGTTGCAGGGTAGGGAAGCAGAGGGAGAGGTAAAAACAGAACTCCTTTCTGAGCAGGGAGCCCAATGGGGTTCAATCCCAGGACCTTAAGATCATGACCTAAGCAGGCTACCTGCTGAGCAAGCAAGGAACCCAATGTAGGGCTCGATCCTAGGATCCTGGTTTTGTGACCTGGGCCAAAGGCAGATGCTTAACCAATAGAGCCACCCAGGTGCACTGATAATGTGATCATCTGGTTTTCATCTTTCTTTTACTGTGGTTTATCACACTGATTTGCATAGGCTGATTCTTGTAATGTGTTATGAAATTCAGTTTACCAGTATTTTATTAAAAGTTTTGCATCTGTGTTCATCAGGGATATTGGCCTTTAATTTTCTTTTTTTGTGGTATTTTTGGCTTTGGTATCAGAGTTATGCTGGCCTCATAAAATAAATTTCAAAGTACTTTCTTCTGTCTTTTGGAAGAGTTTAAGAAGGACCTTTTATACTGCATAATAGCAATTTACACACCGTTATTACAATATTACATTATTCTGTATTTGTTTAAATATTTACCTTTACCAGAGATATTTATACTTTGATATGCTTTCATTATGGGAACAGAAGGTTATGGAAGTGTATTTTTTTTCCTTTAAGATTTAATGTCACATCTTTTTTTTTTTTTTTAAGATTTTATTTATTTATTTGACAGACAGAGATTACAAGTAGACAGAGAGGCAGGCAGAGAGAGAGGACTGGAAGCAGGCTCCCTGCTGAGCAGAGAGCCCAACGCAGGGCTTGATCCCAGGACCCTGGGATCATGACCCGAGCCGAAGGCAGAGGCTTTAACCCACGGAGCCACCCAGGCACCCCTTAATGTCACATTTTTTATGAAAACATATTCTTCATCTCTGTTCTACGCTATAATTTCAGTTATCTGCTCACATTATGATGCTGTGCTAAATTTTTAATCTCTTCCCAAGCCCACCAGACTTAATGTTGCCTTCCTCTACTCTCTAGCCAAACTAGATCAGTATTTCTGTAAATATACCTTTCCTGTTTGTTTTAAAGATTTTTATTTATTTTAGAGAGAGACAGAGAATGTACACAAGTTGGGGGGGGTGCAAAGAGGGAAAGGGAGAGAAACAGACTCCCTGCTAAGCATGGAGCCCAATTTAGGGCTCCATCTCATGACCTTGAGATCATGACCCAAGTTGAAACCAAGAATCAGACGCTTAACCAACTGAGCCACCCAGATGCCCCAATCACTAAAGGTTCCTAATGAAAAAAAAAAAATGTCTAAAGTTATCACATTGAAACCTATAATAAAATACATGCCCTCCTCTCCTCTTTGTGTGTCTATTTATATGTGTCTAAGTAAACATGCATGTGCATACCACATATAAAAACATACTTGATTATGGTTTTTAAATGATTTTTCGCTTTGTAATTCCTGTTCTTGGATTTCTGTATGTTGATAGACAAATCCATAAAACCAGACTGATTGGTCCCAGTACAAATTCATTTTATTCACTGAGGCAGCTACCAGTTGCCTGTCACATTCATCACATCAGTTATTCCTAACTGTCCTCAACCTTTATCTAAATTTTCAACTCACTCATCATCTCCTGTCATTCTATAGAAATAACGTCACCTTTTCCTTTCCTAAGAAAATAAAAAAATTATTCAACCTGGGATCTCTTGCCTTTCCCTTTTGGTTTCTCCAGTTTTTTCTTTATTTTCACCCTTTGCCTTTCTTTTCTAACTGTTGGAGGAATAATTGTCCTTCCGTTTGACGGCCAAGCCCTCTACGCTTACACAAAACAGTAGCCGGAACAGCAGGTACAAAATCCTAGAAACTTGAAAGAGCAGAGTTTGTGGGGAAAATACAAACTTTCCTTTGTGGACAAGTAGGCTTTTGAGTTAAACGGTCCTGGTTTGAATGCTAGTGCCAGGACTTACTGCCTAAATGACCTTGAGTTAACTTTTCTCCTTGGGCTTCATCTTTCTTATCTATAAAGTGGATGCCAGCTACCTCCTAGGGTTGCTGTGAGCTTAAATACCATGGGGTAAGCTGACAGCAAGTGGTAGCTGCTATAGCTATTATGCCTGGAACACGAGTAAAACTATAGCAGTAGTTCATTTCATAATAAGTATTTGTTTACATTTCTGTCTCTGATACTAACTGTAAACTACAAGCCCTATAAGGTTAGGAACACTGTTGTTCTCGTCTTCATATCTCAGACACCTAGCACATAACCAGCACACCAGAAATACATATGTATTATGTGCTAAATGAATAAGTAGTGAAGCTTCAATTTATATTGATGTAAATTGATAAGTAATTCCACTTTTTTTAAAAAATTTAAGTTTCTGTGGATAATTAAAACCTTCTAGAGATTTTCAGATCACATTGTTAGAAGTTTGTTTTCTTCATGTTTCCAAATACTGGCTTTTAATCTGTCACTTTTGCATTCTAGACCTGAGTGAAAGAGTGTGTGTGCTTTTTTTAACCCATCTTGAATAGGAATTAATTGTTTCTCTCCCCTTTCCCCATTCAGGGAAGTGGTACAAGCAAACTGTGTTCACTGGAGGAAGAAGTTCTCGTTTATGTGCAAAATGAGTGCAAGCGCCGCGACCGGCATCCTGGATCCTTGTATCTACAGAGTATCTGTGAGGAAGGTATAAAAATAGCCAATTACTTCTCCCCTTTCAGAAACCATAATTAGTCCCATAGTCACTGACTAACTTTATTTAGCTCTACTTCATCGTTAGAACTGTTACATGTAATTCCACTTCACACTTGCAGCAATAATATAAATTACTGTGACAAATAGGATTTAAGAAAACCTGAAGTCATAAAGTATTACTCAAGAAACTTACCTCACTATCAATACACAGTGAAGTATTGATCTATTTGTATTATTTAGGGGGTGGGGGGTTCTATCTATCTTTATCCTGCCATTCATTAAATTTCTCATTGTTAGGCATTATTTGAGGAACTTTACATATATTATGTCTAAAAACAATCATGAAAACAGGTGTTATTTTTTGTAATTTCGGGAAAACTCAAGTTCAGAAAGGTTATCATTTGCCCAAATTCACATAGCTAGGAAATGGCAAAATGGGACTCAAACAAAAATCTTTCTAATTCCAAGGCCCTGTTTTGTTTTTTATATCATTTCCTTTCCACGTTAGGTTGAGGCATGTTCCTAGTAACCTACAAAGATGGTAATCTCAGGTGGGTCAACTTAATATATATAGAAATATGTGATCCTCCTTTTCTGGGGGTGAAAAAGAGGGAATCCATTTGTAACCACTACAGGTGAATGAAACTATTGGCTTTAAAAGGTAACCTTTATGTTACATCTTATACACATTTTTAGAAGATTTTATTTATTTATTTAAGAGAGATAACACCAGCAGCAAAGGTAGGAGGCAGAGGGAGAGGGAGAAGCAGACTCCCCACTGAGCAGGGAGCCCGATGATGTGGGGCTCAATCCCAGGACCCCAGGATCATGACCTGAGGCAAAGGCAGACACTTAACTGACTAAACCACCCAGGTGCCCCTACATCTTATATACATTTTTTAAATTACCAATATAATACATATACATGTTCAAAAATAAAGGGAAGAACTTAGAATGAAAAGCAAGAGTCCCTTGCCTTGTTCTTTTCCTTTCCAGTCTTAGTCCTTCTTTATCAGATGAAAAGTTGTATTTTTAATTTACTTTCTCTACTTTTTGAGTGAATCGATAGCACTGTATTGTGTGTAGCTATATTTTGTTATATTGCTTAATCTACTCAGTTAAGATGTAAATACATATATACATTTTATTGGTTTTAAGTCTTTAATGAAAATAGACCTGTAAAACAGTCTAAATTGGAGCAGCTATAACTGCATAACGGGGACCCCTGGGTGGCTCAGTCGGTAAGTGTCTGCCTTCGGCTCAGGTCATGGTCCTGGAATCGAGTCTCACATGGGGCTCCTTGCTTAGTGGGGAGCCTACTTCTCCCTCTAACTGCCACTGCCCCTGCTTGTGCGCTCTCTCTCTCTCTGACAAATAAATAAATTTTAAAAATATTTTAAAAAATAATAATAATTGCATCAAGGATTCCCTAAAGGAAGGATAATGCAGTGAAAGTGTGTATGTCATCATAGTGACCTAGGTTTGAGTCCCAGATATGCTGCTTATTAACTGGGAGTCCTTAGGCAGTTCTCTGACTTCCTCAAAATCAGGTTCTTCATCTAACCTAAGAGTATAATAATTGCTTTCTCTAAAAGTTATGAGGATTAACTGAGATAGGAGTAAAGCATCCTACCTTCTCCTTCTGTGTTAATTGCTGCTGCAACTCATATTGAAAACTTTACTAAATGGAGTTCTCATAATTTTTGAAAGATGACCAGTCTTTGAATTTTAATAAAAAGAAAGCATATAACCATTTTAGAGTAAAGTGTAACTGCTAATTAAAGACACTCAGTCTATTACAAGAAAACAAACAACTAATTATTTTGTAATTTAAGGTAGGTGAAACAAACCAGTTCCTCAGATTGTGATGGTTTGGTGTATTAGTTAGGGCACATACAATAAACTGCTGAATTAGATACCCAAATATACAATGACGTAAACAGGACAGAAGTTTATGTCTTTCTTGGGTAATAGCCTAGGGATCCTGGGCTGGTAGAGTAGCTCTGCCATCTTCACCATATGGCGCCCATCTTTAGATCCAAGGGAATTACTCCAGTCTTGCTATCTTTCAACCAATGAGAAAATAGAAAAGGCCACATGACAATAACAGTAAGAACCCATAAAGAAAAATTAGTAAACTCATCTATATGAACATTTTATGCATTGCAAGAAAAAGTACCTTAAGCAAAGCTATAAATTAAGGGAAAACATCTGCAAACCATGTCAGAGGACTAATTTCCTTGGGAGGGAAAGAGCTCCTTCAAATAAGAAGAAAAGATCAATAACCCTTTAGAAAAATAGGCAAGGATGAAATATGTATTTCACAAAGTGGAAAATATAAATAGCTTTCAAACCTACAAAAAATTACTCAATCTCACTCATGTATGTTAAAACTACAAATAAGGCACCATTTTTTACCTATAAATTTAACAAAGATCAAAAAGTTTGATAAGGCACTCTGTTGCCTAGGACATGGGGAAGCAGTCCATCACTTGTCAACAAATATGTGAGCTCCTGAAAGTGCCAGATACTATTCTAGGCACTGAAAGGACAGTGGTGAACTGGAATGAGTTTCTGCCTTCAAGGACTCTGTTGTCTGGTTGGAGCTGGGGAAAAGAGTGATAGGAAAGATAGAGAGTAAGCATATAACCAAATAAAATTGTTTTCAGATGGTAATAAGTGTTGTATGTAAAATACAATGAGATAATAGAGAATAACTCAGGGAGAGGAAATCATTTTAGAAAATTAGGGGAGACGTCTCTGAAAGGTAACACTTGAAGAGGAGGCACCCATGTAAAGATCTAGGGAAAGACCATTCTTAAAGGAGTAGGACCTTGTATTAACTAATACAGTCAAGGTTCTCCACAGAAACAGAATCAATAGAGTGGAGAGGTAGCTATATAGATATAGATTTATTATAAGGAATTGGTGTACACAGGCCAAGAACTCCCACGATCTGCCATCTGCAAGCTGAAGATGGCTGATGGTGTAATTCCAGTCTCACTCAGTCCAAGGGCTGAGAACCAGGAAACTAATGGTGTAACTTCAAGTCAAAGCCTGAGTTAATTTAATTAGGAGTGCTGATGGTGTAAGTCCTAGTCTTAAAGTGGGAGAAAACTGATGTCCTAATTCAAACAGTCAGGTAAAGAGAGCGAATTTAACCTTCCTCAGCCTGTTTCTTCTATTCAGACCCTCAGCAGATTGGATGATGCCCACCCACACTGAGGAAAGCAATCTGCTTTCCTCTTTCCTCGACTGATTAAAATGTTAATCTTATCCAGAAACACCCCTACAGACATAGCCAGAAATAGTGTTTAAGCATATATCTAGGCACCCCATGGCCCAGCAAGTTGGCACATGAAAGTAACTATCCCATACCTGAAAGTAAAAAGGCCCTGTGTTAGTTTTCTAGAGCTGCTTTATCAAAGTACCACAAACTGGGTAATTTAAAACAGCACAGAGGTATTGTCTTCTAGTTCTGGAGGTCAAAAGTGAAAATCAAGGTGTCAGCAGGGCCATGCTGTAAAGGATCCAGAAACTGTTCCATCCCTTTCTCCTAACTTCTGGTAGTTCAGGCGTTCCTTGGCTTCTAGATGCTGCACTCCAGTTATATGGCTGCCTTCTCCTTTTGTGTCTTCACATCGTCTTCCTACTGTGTGTGTCTGTGACTATGTTCAGATCTCTTTTTTTTTTTTTTTTAAATAAGGGCACCAGTCATGTTGGATTAAGACCATATTCTAACTGGATTACCTATGTATATCCAAATAAGATCACATCCAAGGTACTGAGGATTAGGACTTCAACATATCTTGGCAGGGGGCGGAGTAGGAGGAGAAATGCACAATGCAATCCATAACAGGCCCCAAGATTATAATAAACCTGGGGATTTATGTTTCTGAAATTAATGTACCAGCTTATTAAAGACCACCCGTCCCTCTGAAAACAGCCAGAAAAGTTAGACACAATATTAAAAAGCTGCTTGAAGACATCAGAAGCTGCCAAGGCAGAAAGGACTTAGGAAGTTTAGAATCATAGACAAGGGAAGGATAAAGAGATGAGCCTGACATTTGGTGTTGCTTTTTCCCCTCAAAGCATTTGCTAAGTTGCAAGCAATGGTTAAAAAGCTGAGCTGAAAGCAATGGCTGAGGAGAAGCTAGCTGAGATCCCAGCAATTTTACAAGACTAAAGGGACAAAAACTGGAGTCCAGTACCCATCAGCAGGAAGGGCCTTTGTAAATACCCCAAACTTTTCACTGGGGCTCCCTAAGAGTTTCAGCCTAGAAGGAGTGTAGTGGATGTAGGTCAGCCTATACAAAGATTGAAACTTAGCTTCTAATCAGCTTAATCCCTGCTTATATGAAGGTGATCTGCCCCTTTCAGAACTTGCCAGAAGCAAATATGTATCTTCTCTGAAGGAAAATAACATTATTCTGAGCCTTAAATTAAGTTATCAAAATCAAAAATTACCAAGCATCCAAAAGACATGACTGCATGACCAAAAATCAAAAGGAAAATAGATAATGAAAACAGACTCATGGAAGATACAGGTTTTAGGAAGATCAGAGACAAACTATAATGAGTGAACAATATGGGGAATTTTATTGGAGAACCAGAAACTATAAAAAAAATTGAATTTTAGAACTGAGAAATGAAATAACTAAAATTTAAAATAAATAGACAAGGGGCACGCAGCTGGCTTGGTTGGTAGAGCATGGGACTCTTAGTCTTGGGGTTGTGAGTTTGAGCCCCATGTTGGGTGTAGAGATTACTTTAAAAAAATTATTTATTTTTTTTTTTATTTTTTATAAACATATAATATATTTTTTATCCCCAGGGGTACAGGTCTGTGAATCGCCAGGTTTACACACTTCACAGCACTCACCATAGAACATATCCTCCCCAGTGTCCATAATCCCACCCCCCCTTTCTCAACCCCCCTCCCCCCATTAACCCTCAGTTTGTTTTGTGAGATTAAGAGTCACTTATGGTTTG